TCTCCATCCACCAAGATGATTTGAAACCACCATGGAGGCTCTCCCAAGCCTTGAGCCAAATGAAAACAAACCTCTTTACAGAAAAAAAAAATATATCAGCAAGAATGCAAAAAAAAAATAATAATGATGATTCAGAATTTCAGAATGCTGAATTCAAATTCAGAAAACAAGAACGAGCAGGATCCCAAGTAGCCTGCAGAAAGTGGCCAGTGTAATCAGTACAAGGAAACAAATCACGAAATCAAAGTAGAAAATGGTGAAATGGAGATGAAAGGAACAATACGAAGAGCCAATGGAGCAAAGAGCTTGTTCTTTGAAAAAAAAAATGACTGATAAACCCTTAGCCAAACTAACAGAGAAAGAGAGAGAGAAAGAGTAATTAATAAAATTATGTGTAGTAAAGGATGTTTATAACAGATACTACTCAAATCCTGATGATCACCGCTATATTACAATAAGCTGGAAATCCTAAAGAGCATGGATAAATTCCTGCACATGTATGGCCTACCATACATGAATTAGGTCAAAAAACATACATAACCTAGACGGTTCCACAATAGTCAATGAGTTTGAACCAGTAATCATCTCAGAGCAAAGAAATGCTCAAGACCAGACAGACTCACTGCTCCAGTCTACCAAACCCTCCATGAAGAGCTGGCACCAACACTCCTCAGTCTATCTAGACACAAAGAGCAGAAGCACTTCCTACTTGATTCTGCTTAAGCCAGCATTACCCTGATCCCAAAGCCTGACAAGGACACAGCCAAAGACAAACACACAGACTGGGTATCAATTCCCCTGATAAACATGGACACAAGAGTTCTCAACAAAATACCTCAAACAGAATTCCACAGTGCATTAAAAGATTATATAAGCATGACACTGAGTCTGTTTCATTCTAGGAACACAAATACAGTTTGACACACAGGATCAATAAATGCAAAAGAGCATATAAATAAACTCAGAGCCAGAATCACTTGACTATCTAAATGGATGCCCTTGACAAACTTCAACATCCTTTCCTGTTCAAAAGCCCTAAAAGAGAAACAAACAAACAAACAAAAACTAGGAATAGGAAGACCTTCCTCAACACAAAATGCTATATACAAGAAGCCCACAGCATACAGCATGCTTAACAGTGAAGAAAGATCTAAAAACAAGAATGGGGCAAATGCTTATTGTTAGGTCTCGGGCAGGTCATATACTCAAAAATGTCAGTCCTGGCCCACCTCAAGCAGAACTATAGAAGGATTTCTGACAGTCAAATAAAGACAGCATTTGTTTAAGAACTTGAGATGTGGGTTCCCCTTCTGTCAAAAGAAGTCATTCCATGCCTCTGGCAGAACAGACATATGGCTCTCTGTTGCAATCTGTGGCACGTCAAAGCCCACGCTGGCCTCCAGGCTCCTATAGCCCTATTCACAAGTACTCATTATACATTTCAGATCCTCAGCACTGGCATCCTGGCCCTTCACAGCTCTCCAGGCCTCCCCCTCCCCATTACCTGGTGGCTCTCTATATAATGCCAAGGCTGTTATCCCAGCCCCCACTTGCTATTCTCCCTTCTCTCACACAGATAGCCCTGGCTGTGTCCAGTCTGCTTCTTTCTCTCCCTGCTCTGGACTCTTCCAGATGCCTCTGCTGCTCTCTCTCGCTCTCTCTCTCTCTCTCTCTTTCACCATAACCACCCTCCCAACAATGCAGCAGCCGTTTCAGGGGCTTATTCGCTGCTCCCCCTATCATACATATACATTGCCTGATTTTGTAGCCACAGCCATAAGATAAGAGACAGAAATATAGGGAATACCAATAGGAGAGAAAAAAAAAAACAAAAACAAAGTGTCTTTACTCTCAGACAGTTCTTATGTTAAAGCCCCTAATGACTCTATTAGAACTGTTTAAATCTGATTTAAAAAAAAAACACGCACACACACACTTCTAACAGAATAGCAGGATATAAAATCACCATATAAAACTCAGTGTCTTTTCTGTATTAGGTGATGAACAGATGAGAAAAAAAAAGCAAGAATAATCCAGAACTTCATTTACAGTTGTTTCAAAAAAAAAAAAAAAGAACATTTGTAAATAAACCAAGGAGGTGAAAGAAAGAGAAAAGGAAAAACCCCAGTGAAGGGAGGACTTCCTGGGCTACAGAGCAGAGGATCACTAACATGAACAAGGCTGTGTTATGAAGACAACCTAGAGTCAATGCACTACTCATCCGAATTCCAGTAGCCTTCTCTAGAGAAATAGGTAAACAAGTCCTAAAACTCATAAGGAAGTACTAAAGACATGTGTCTGTCTGTCTCTCTGTCTGTCTGTCTGTCTGTCTCTCTGTCTGTCTGTCTCTCTGTCTGTCT